ACTCTTCTGTCTGGGAATCTCTACTCCTTTCGCACGTGTGAATCACCTGGCCCATTCATTCTGGGACACGTGGTCCGTCGTAAGTGGTAGGATAGCGTGTCATGCGAAAAGCGGAACACCACCCAGCAACATTTTACAGCACGATCATGTGTACAGGGGGGAGGGGGGTACGCAGCCACCCACCCAATCCGAAACATTCTTCATCTGTGGCATACATACTTAGCATTAGCGTATATTGTTTGTAGGTGCCTATATTCTTCTAGAACTGGATAATATTAGTGACTCTTGCCATCCCATGCTGCGTCCCCTGGGAACACCATCAACGCGTACGGTGTTACTTTGATTGCCATTGCAACATTATGTGGTCATCAACTTAGCTTGTCTCTAAACACTGACATATTCTCTGCTGTGTTCCCTGCATTTCGACTCACTTGTAAACTATGACGCAGATTCAGTGGTTCACAGCCTCACACTAATCGCTATCTTTCCTCAAACTGCAGGAGATTAATTACCACCACAGATATAGGATGTGTTTTCATTTCAATTGATTATTAAAACGTGATGATATTTGAATATTTTTCTAGAAATTGATTTTTATAAAATTGAATATCTTCGGATCATTTTCCATAATCAATTTTGAATGGGTAAATTACAATTAAAAAAAACATTCAACTTTATAATGTAATAATTTTTCTGACCAGGTTTGTATAATGTAATGTTGATTTGAAAACAGAAAAGAAACAAATTTCAAGTTGCGCAAATTTCACCGACTTTCCAAATCATCCCTTCTTCAGTCTTCTTGTTTCATAACTTCTTTTCTTTTCTTCCTTCCTGTTTTAAGCCGCCTGCAATGTTGGCTGAGTTCACTCTCAATGGCGCTGACGGGTTAGATTTCTACGATGTGAGCTTGGTCAACGGCTGCAACCTGCCGATGCTGATCATCGCAAAAGGTGGAAAAACGGGGTCGTAGACCTGAAGACGCTCGAGTTCTTGCCTTCACGCTCTGGAGTTCTCAGGAGTAAATTAGGAGATGCTGTGAGTCCTCGAGAAGCAGAAAAGAGCTTTAAATAACAGTCAAAATCGATTTTCTAAACTGAACAAATTTCAGCTTATCCCACATAGAATTTTGGAAGCCAAATGGGGTTTGGAAAAATTAGAATGTTTGAATAAAATTTTTCAAAATCAAGATTTTTAATCCAAAATTGATTTTAAAAATGCATCCAAACAGGTTCACATTTTTTTCTTAACTAGGGGGGCTATCGCTACGTCTCCGATGTGACCAGTACATGCGATGATATATGTATTCATTTAAATCATGGCTCAATTCCAATTTTAATTTACTAGTAGCTTCATTACAATTTTACTTTACATTAGTCTTTAAACCATATTTTATCTGTAGTGCAGGGGGAGGCTATATTTTTAAAAAATAAAAAAGAAAAAAGAAAAATGCGCGTTTTAAGCAATCAACAGAAATTTTATAGTGAGGCGCACAATGTTTTTTATAAATACATGATGATATTAAAATACATACATTTTATTTCCATCATATCACTAAAATTTAACGCATTATATTTGTCTAAAATGCCACCAACGGTAAGAAATTATTTATTGGGCGATTTTGTACAACATGTAAAACACGGAAAAGTGCAAAGAGAAACATTATTAAAAATAGGGAGGATATTCCATGACTAATATGTAACGTCTTTTAGTCTTTTTGTAGCAGCTACTAGCAACGTAAAAAGTGATTTTTTTTTTCAACAGATAAAAAGTGAAATGTTAAATTTTTAAAAATTCAGACGGAGAAACTTTTGAGAATGCAGCATAGAAAGGAAAACTATGTGAGCAAGGCGCAGACGTAGTTGGTCATGTTATATCACTTGGGCTACCATGAAGTCGGGCTGCCTTCTCCCCCTAACCTGCTACAAAGGGCCCAACATAGGATTAGTAGGCCACCACCGAGCTCGGGCGATCCATTTAACTTTTACTCTGTTAAGTCAGTCCCAAATATTTGCTTTCTTTTCCATGACTTCAACCGAAGAAACAGGAGAGGGAAAGGACAGGTGTCCGATATCATTTCTCCTCGGCGCCAATATATATATATATACACACACACACATATATTTATTTATATTACCATATTTTTGGGGTCCAGTACAAATATTAGGTTACCGGGAAAAAATTGCATCCTTGGCGTCATAACAAATTCATATCGTCCTCTCGCTTGATGGATTCTTTTGGAGTCATTGACCTTTCTTCGGGGCGAAAGGCGCGTTAATGATCTTCATTTATTTTCTTTCCTATTTAAGAAAGTCTCTGGCCGTTTGATATGTAAAATAAAAAAATCAAATAGGAATCGTTTTAATTAAAGCGTCCTTTTTATATGTGTTACTTATTGTTTCTAAAATACTAAATTATATTTTTTGTCTTCTAAACTTATAAAAAAGTTCATCCTTTAATTTTATAAAGCATATTTTCAGCCCTTGAACTCTAATATCTTAGTTTGAAATGATTTTTTTGTGTGCCATTATTATTTTTAAAAAATTAAATTTAATATGTCAACATTTAATAATATTTTATTAATATTTAAAAATTTAATGAACAATTTTGTTATGAAACTAACATAGTCAAAGTATTAAAAAGACATTTTATAAAATTAAATAACTACAATTCAACCTTATATTAAATTGAAGGATTAAAAACATACTTTAACCTCCTTTTTCATAAAAATTGATCTCATAAGTTATACGAATTTTGATTTAATTTTCATACATTCATTTTAGTTCCAGGGTTCTTTATTTAAGTTTTTTTTTAAATTGAAAAAATCACTTATTTCAAAAAATTACTTTGTTTTTTAACCTTTCTAAAAACAATCAGAAGCTAAAAATGTATATTTTTATTGTTTTTATGAGTAGCTTCTAAAAAAGCCATACCCAGATAAAAGAAAATGTCCTTGTTATCAAAACATAGATTCACGAGAATATTATAAAATTTAACAATAAAATTAAAAATCTGCAGAGACATTATAAAATTTTAAAATTATTAAATAATAAATAATATTTTATAATTGTAACTAATGCAAAATTATTTCTGTTTTATATGAACATTCACGAAACCTAATCTTAAAAGAATAAAAAGGAAGCGACGATGTGATTGAGGAAGCTTGTCGTTGACATTATATAATAAACCATTTTTCGTAATACATCTATGGCTTCTAAAAATCAATTATTTTTTAAGCTGTGACAGCTGCCCTTTAATCACAGAGAAGATGGCATTATAGTGGGGATTGGAAGAAGATTCATGGTCGATGCAAAATATATATATATATATATATATATGTAGAAGGAGAAGACGACGACGACGATTAATGGGATTGGGAGCCGGGAAGGGTACGTAGGATTTATGGATTTAAATAATTATATTTATAATTTAATATTAATGAATTTATGAAAAAAATTTCTTCTTTTTAAAAAATTATATTTTATATAAAATAATCAAATAAATAAAATCCAAATTTGCCCGTTTCAATTTGAGAGGCTTTCAATCGGAGATTGATTAGCGCAATTAAGGTTCACAGAGCTCGAGGAATGAAAGTAGTGAATGTATGCAAAAGCACGTGGGGTTGTCCCGCACCTGTGTTTTGATTAGAACATCTACGTTAAATGGACTCGCCCAAACACAGTTACAATTCACCATGCCCCCTCTACAGTGAAACGCTGTTACGAATGCGCTACGATTCGTCCTTTCAGTACATAAAGTTACTAATAAAAGTAACTAAGCAGAAGTAACAGCCGTTGCATGTATCTCGTGGCTTCCTCCGATGGGATTGGACCATCATTTGCGGATAGATTCGTTTTGTTGCTTCAATTCACAAGCATACCTGAAAACTAAACGAGTTAGAAACGAGAGAAACGAAAAGAAAGCCATGATATCATGCATGCGTCGCGTGCGTATAAACTTCAAATATATTTGTTACCGAGCACCGACCCAGTCTATATCCACGGCTACGTACAGATCATTTCAATGCACAGCCAGTGAGAAAATATATTTTAAGAGGCTGATTTAATTAGAGTTGGATTTTTAACATGATTTCTATTTTTCAGTTGAGGGACACGGTGAAATAATTGCAAACTCTGCTCCGTAAAATTACAAATAAGGGAGTACTATTTGTGATTGTGAATACTTGATCCAGCAGCGTTCTTAAACGCGTTTGGAGTTGTGAAAAATGAAAAGCGTGATTAATGAAGGCAATGAAGAGAGTTGAAAGACGTGGAAGGGACACGTGTGCAGTGGAGTAGGCAGAGGAAGTGGGAAATGAAGCGAAGGCGAGGTGATGCGGCCGAAATTGACGCTTCAACACCGGACATGACGTGACAAAGCTTTTTCTCGGAGTGGATGGGTGTAAATATCACCGACACACTTCATGATGAAAATACTGCTCGCAGAATCAGTGTTTGCAAGCATGTCAAGCATGTTGCCTGAGATAAGCTTCGGCATCTGAAGCAGTGTATTTATTACTTAATATCATATCATTATTTGTAGTACATTATAAAAATGCCTTGTTATGGATAGGATCATTGCAATTCATGGTGTTATAATTAATGTGCCATTAAATCTAACTCAAGTTGGTCAACATTGAACCAGCTTCTTAGCTAGTTTAATCAAGAGATTAATTTTGACAGGTTGATTGTTTTAAATTTTATATTTTAATCATGACTAGATTAATTTTAATTTTATCATAATTAGATTGCTAGTCCTTAAATTACTTGTGACACTTAAAAGTTAAAAGGGAGAATCGTATATAAAAATGTCCCAAAAAAATTACTCAGGTAAGAACTAATAACAAATTATCATTTGAGGAAAAAAAAAAAGTTACTATTATTATTTTAACAACAAAAATTTTATGTTAGTCTTTAGTTGTCAATAATTCTATTAAAAAGTCATTGAATGTTATTGCTCCAAAGTTAAATCATTGCCTCAACAACCTATGGAAGTAGCTGGCATAAGTAAGGTTGAACATTTAAACTCAAAATTCAGTCAACCTGATCCAGTTTGCAGTGACCCAATCTAGTGCAATATAGGTGAAAAACAATTCAAGGAGAAAACTAGACCAACCAAACTAAACTGATTGGTTGAGACAAATGAGATCTCGGATTGCATGTTTAGACTATTCACTCTAGTTCAATCCAGTTTAATTTATTTTTTAAAAAATAAAATTTGATGTAAGGCTATACCTTATAGGGTTCCACTTCAAAGTCATTTCTTCCTCACTTTTGTGGCCTTTCAACTTCGCCAACAACCCCTCCTCCCTCCCCAATCTATCTCAACCTCTCATTCGTTGCACCTTCGCTGCGATTGTCCATGGTAGTGGCTTTGTCTCCAAGTTTAGCGTTGTTCCATCATTGTTGGCTATGGCTTTGTCTCTAACTCTTTACCCCCACCCTCGCCTTTATAGCTCCAATGATTTGCAAGTAGGGAGTCATGAGTCATCTATCACTTAGATCTTTAATTTCCTCTTCTTCTCTCCCTCCCTTCATTGATGCCATGCCTTCATTCACTTCAAGCTTTACGCCTCTGCCATCATGTTTCCTTCCTGTTCTTTTCCATTGTTTGCCACTCCCCCTTCACCCACAAGCTTCAACTGTGTGTGTAATGTAACATCCAATTTAAATTTTAATAGTTAATTTGAGTTAATAGAAATTTAAAAAAAATAAATAATATTTAGAGGTAAGAAAATTAGTAAGAGATGATTATTAAATCTAACTTAGGATATAATTCTAAAAAAATTTAAAATTAAAAAAAATAATAAAAAAATATTATTAAATTATTATTATTATTATTATTATAAAAAAAAGAAAAGAAAAGGTGTAAAAACAAGAAAGGAGAAGAACAAGGAAACTTTCGGCCGCTGCACATCAATAATGAATATTATAATAATATTAAAAAAAGGGGAGAGAGAGAAAAGAAGAAATAATAAAAAAAATGTGTGGGACCTACTGAATTTTTATAAAAACTCACCTGTTCCTTCATTTCTTCATTCCTTCTTTCGTGCGTGAGCTGAGGCAGAGAGAGCATCTTTGAGCCAAGTTCGCCGGTGCTGGGTTTTAAGGTAAGAGTTTTTAATAAGATATTTAGGGTGTGATTTTAAACTTTTCAAGACTAAGTGTTCTAAAATTTTTTCTTAGTCATCCTTCTTCTTTGATTTTTGAGTTTGTAGTGGTAGAAAATTTAAGATCTGGAAGAGGGATGAATTTATGTTGAATAAATATAATTTTTGAGGTTGTCAGTAGTATAATAAATGTTCTAGAGTATAAATTTATTGATGATCTTTGAATCTGTGGCTTATGGATCAAATTCTAAACTAGATCTGAAAATATATGTTGATTTATTGAGGTTTAGATGATTATTTAGGATGAGAAATGAATTATTATGGTTATAGGATTATGATTCTAAGCTAGAGAATCAATTTTTAATTTTTAGGTATTTTAGGTACGAATTTATGAAATAAAAAGAAAATTTTGATAATAGAAATTAGTTTAGAAGTTGATTTTTAGATTATTAATGTTTATTGATAATTAAAAGAGGAGTTAAAAATTTTACTTAATAGTATTAACTATAAATTTGTATTAAGATTGAGATTAGAAATTATGTTATATTTTTAATTCTATTATTAAAATTATTTTATTAGTTTCAAAAATTGAAACTAATATTTATAAATAATATGTTATTTGTAGATTGTATTACTGGTGAAAATTGTGATGAGAGAGAAATTTTAAGGAATAATTTATTGAAAAAGCCACAAGGTAACCATGCTTTTAATTTGTGATTAGTGTTACTTCATGTTAATTGGGTGATTATTGAGAAAATTATGAATTTTGTAATATTGTATAATTGTGCAATATTATTATGAATTTGTTTGATTATTGTGGGAGGTGTTGGGAGACTTGCTATTATTGTTGTATTTATGTGCCACGTGGTACACCCTTATTGGAGCTCAATAGGTGGTTTGTAAGGGCTCGGGCTAATCTACCTTTGGCCGGGTAATTTAGCACCGAGTGAGGGCTACGGCTCGAGGTTAATGGAGGGATATAAGGATGGCTGTTTGTGTATATTGTAATATTTCTTATATTTGTTGGAATTATATTATTTTTTTAATTCTCACTTAATAAGCACACACTTAACTGTTTGTATACACAATCATAAATTGGCTTTGGTTACTGAGACTTTTGAGTCTCATTATGTGGTTAACAATTTTCAGGAGAAGAGCCACGAGTGACACGTGGAGGAGTCTCAGAGGCTTAGTGGTATAAATCCACTATCTCTTTTGGGTATTTAATTTATGATTTATAATGTGTTATATTGCCAATATTAGGGCTTTTTGTTTATTATCAATTATATGAATATATAAATGTAATCATGCCTTTCAAACTATTTCTATTTTTGGTATAATTTGGATGACTGTAATTTTAATATTAGGTTTACTTTGGATTGATTAAAATGGCATGATTATAAGGTCAAATAACTGCCTTGCGTTGAAAATTGACTAAATTGCTTATTTTACTTGTTGGGAGTATAAGGATGGATAAATGTGATTTAGATTACTTGTTGGGAGTATAAGGATGGACAAATGTGATTTAACCTAATGGCATGTGGAAGGTAAAAATTTATCTGAAATGTTATAGTGTGTGAGTTGAAGCCAATTATAAAATATTTTATATTAAAATTATTGATATAAAAATGTATTGGGTGGTTGTAACCCAACTATGGTTGAGTTACATTATTTAAAAAAAAATTTGGTGTGTTACATGTAATACAATACAGTGATTTTTCTTTTTGCTAATTTGTGGTAGCTGATTTGTTTTATTACTTTTATTTTTTGAGGTTGACAGCAGAAATTTGTATATGGGTTATTATTCTATCTCACTTGTTCATCAGCCAGAAAAAATGGGGAGAAAAATGCAACATGATTTGTGTTTGTCGTTAAGCGTTACCACAAGCACACATATAATCACAACTAAAGAATTTTTCAAAAATATTGTTTCCTTGAGGATTTAAGCAAAAGAGAATTAAAAAATTCACCACTATGTTTAGGATTAGATTGATCAAAATCAAGTGTGAGTTTTGTTTAAAAGTAAAGTAAATTAAAATAAATAGTGTTTTAAAACAAGTAAAATTTGGCTCAAACTTTGACTTCAAGAGTTAATAATCTAAGACTTAAATTAATTCCTCTCAAAATAATTTTTAATTAATATAAGTATTGGTCTAAGATTTTAATTTACTTAAAAAAAAACTTTTTCAAGCCAAAATCAAGTATTTTTACAAATACTAAAGTTTTTCAATCTCTTGAAAATAATTATTGAAAATAAGTTTTAAACTCTAATCTTAAATTGAATGTGAAGAGTTAACAAACTATCTCCATTTTGCTTACAAAATTGTCTATTTATCTTTATAAATTTCAAGTCTAATAATATTTTTTTAATTTCTACATTTAAATTAACTTTCTCGAGCATAACTCAAGTAAACAAAATAATCTAAGTGATAGCCAAACACTTAAAAATATTAAACATAGGATAAAATAAACACATATATATTATTATCCATTCCATTCTACCTTTTAATTAACAAGTTTATTTCAAAAAAGTTCTCAATTCTATGAGATGCTTTATTCTTTCTCTTTATAAATATGGTTTACTTATTTCCCTTCACATTTCAATCATCTTATTTTTACATTTATTTTTCTAATCCATTTCATTCATTTTTAACAACCAAACGAAGCCTACTCTGCACTCCTTAATAGCAACACAAGACAAAGCTAGTAAGCAAATGTTAATTAAATCTTTAAAATCATAAAAAAATAATTTCCCAGTTCTACCCTTGTTTAAAATCAATAATCATAATAAATAAATAAAAATAAAAATTTAAAAATCAAATTAATTCTCCTAACTTTGTATTATACTAAAGACTAAAAATACTTTTAAAATTTACCGTAGCATAAGGAGAGTATATATATATATCCTGATTTAGAATGGTGGACGCCTCTTCTACTTTTAACCGAAATATTATTTAAAAGCTTATATTGTAAAAAATATTTTTTAACATACACTTCTAGATTTTGTTACCAAATCGTAAAATTGATTAATTTTGATATGTATGTGGAATGCATTTTAATAGATGAAAATTACTTGCTTACACTTTCTTGCAGCCCTGTCATTAAATATAATATCTTTTAGTTAAAATATGATAACTATATTAATATCCAACACTATGGGAGATGGTACATATAAGTCTTGTGAACAACTATACAATTTTATTGATTTATAGAAAAACTTAAAATCAAGTAGGTGTAACATGAATAATAGCATTTTGAACCTTTTAAATATCATTTCAGAGTTTGATTCTTAGACGTGTTTATAAAGAGCATTGTTTGACGGAGGATAATTCCTTAAATGATGCTAAGATTCTATGGATTATTAATCTTTTGGTTGCTGGTTGTGGGGATATTTTGGAGAAAAAAAAATCTTATATAGTTGTGACATTGCAAATAAATATTTGGGTTAAGTTTTAAAAATACCCAATAAATAATCGATCAATAGCATCTAGTAATTTAATGTGAAAAAAAATATAAAATACCCATAATGTTATCAAAATTGGTGCAAAAGTGACAAAATTGTTAACTTGCCCTAATGCCATTAGTTTTCAGTGTTAAATGCTGATTATGCTTGTCATGTGTCAATCTTTGATGACATGAATTAAAAAAAAGGTAAAAATGCCTATGAAATCATCAGTCAAGAACATCCAGTAGCTAAAAGTGATAAAAATGGAAGGAATACTCATAACATTACTTTAGTAGGTGCAATAGTGATCAATCCATTAAATTTTTTAAATGTTAATTGTTTATGTAAGGTCACCCTTACTAATCCAAAATTAATACAAAAAATAAGGTAATTATAGAACTAACCTTCTTAGACTACCAAGTTTTTAATATCATATAAATGGGACTCTAAGTTTTGAAACTTGTATAATTTTATAAGTTGGAATTAGAGTAAAATATTATTTTAGAAGCATGTGATATCATCTAGTAGTGAAAGGATAAAAATTAGTTGAAATTATCAAGCAGTAGAAGACAAAGGAACGTGCCATGACACATGCACATGTACTGTGTCTTGTTCTTCTTTGTACCATGCGTCGCAACGCATGTGTTACACAAAATTTGATGACATTTTGCTATCATGTGACAATAACCTAAGGCAAACTTCTGACGTACCCTATTTCTCCATTCGATGTCTAATTGAAGTAATTTAAGTGTCTACAAAAATATCTTACAATAACCCAACTAATGGCATGGGTCTTATTCCTAAATTATCTCATATAAAAAAGTTGGATACCTAAACACATTTTTCACAACACAAGAGTGTCCAACACTTTTCACAACACAAGAGTGTGCAACACAAGAGTGTCTAACACCCAATACTTGTGCAAAAAACTATCACTAACACCCATACCACACTCAATGCACTTATGACCACTATACAACACACTACAATACATGCACATATTTACACAATTTCTTATGTTCACTCCTCAACTCCTTAATATTAAAAACAGCAGGGGAGGCTTAGTATTGCATTTAATTGAATAACTTTCATAGTTATAAATATTTCAACATTTCTACACTTGCATTAGTATTTTGGCTCTATTTAACAACAATCAAAAATTACATGCACACATTTCAAGACCTAAAATATAACAAGCAATCATAAACATCCACATAATGCAAGTATATATAAAAATGCTTTCCAATTAGTAATATCTCATAATTATGCAAAATTAAACAAGGTTAGGAGGCTTAACAATAGGAATATGAAATTCCTAAGCTTCCTAAGCTTTTCCTCTGTCTATACCTAAGCTAAAGCCTATAAAATATTAATAAATAAGGAGTGAGTACAACCACTCAATAACTAAGGTACGTCTATCCTATGCAGTTACATATTAATTGACAATAAATATTTATGAGAGATGAATACTCGTACACATTTAATCATACATAACACATGTACAGTTACAAGATTTATCTTATTTTCATTTTTCTCATATCATAAAACACATTGCCACAATATTATCAATCATATGACAATGGCCCAAATCAACTATCATGACATGTCACATCTAATAACCACGTGACATGTTAGGTAAGAATGTATGATCAATTCTTCCTTATCCTCTGACTAAAATAGTAAGCTATAGATCAATTAAGGTTCCATTCATATAAAGAGACTACCTAAACTCACCAATTGTGAGGAGTAACTCAACTAAAGATTACTACACTTACTCTCGGACCATAACTTCTCCCATTCTTGAATCCTTAGAGTGTCATAAAATCCTAAATCAATCTCCTTAATAAATTGATAAAGATAGTTAGGTTTGAGTCCTTCGATAAACTATGGAACAGTTTTTCAGTAAATATAGGATGAGGCTAACCTTCATTCACTGAAAGGCAGCCATATAATACTATGTGAATTTATCTACTCCTCTCCCAAGGTGATCTCTCACCAAATGATCATGTAATGAGTTCATCCTTACATTTTTAACATATTATCATATACAAACACAAATTCATTTTATTCACAAAATAAGCGTTCACATGTGAGCCTCATAAATATTCTTACTTTACACACATCACCTCTATTATCAAATTTCATGTAACAATCACAATTTCTTCATTTTTATTAATGTATTGCACAACACCGGAACAACAACTCAATTGTCTCATTAATTTATCAATTTCTTCTTTAAAAATATAATGGTGATATTTTAAGTATATCAAATTCAAACATCACATGTTTTGGACATATACACAACTATGCCAAGTATTCATCCATATCAAGTAATTCATTTTTAAAAATATGAATTAATTAATAAGAAATTACATAGAATAGATTTCTCTGATTATTTCAAACCTTTGAGAAGTTAAAAGTTTATCCCTTAATAATTTGCTTCCTAGTTTTTTCTTTAAGCTCAAACTTGTGCACGAACGATTAATCTACAATTAATTATGTTCCAAAACCATTAACACCATCATTTACACTCTTCAAGCTTTTAAATTTTCAATTCTATAAATAACCTAAAATTCCTATTCTTAGCATTCAAGCTTCCCCATTGGGTCTATTAGCTTCTATCAACCCCAACCAACTTCATTAAACTCCTAACTCATCATTAATGACATTAAAACTTCTTTAACCCCCTTTTATTATGGAAATTTGGCCACTGATGCTTTCATAACAACCAAAACATGCAAACCTATATACCTTAGGTTTAATTACTTCAAACAACTTCCATTAATTCCATTAAAATCAATAGGTCACTACTAGAAATATCACATTTAATAAGAGACAAATTCCTTGCTAATTGTATTAGTCCCTTGCGTAGCTAAAAAATGGCTCATTAAATTTAACGAGGAACCAATATTCCCTCACTATTTTACAAGGGCTAAAGTTCCTCACTAATCCCTTACTAAATGTGCCAAAAATGAAATAGCAAGGGAATACTCATTCCTAACTAAATTTAACGAGCTATTTTTTAACTGTAAATTTAGTGAGGGATTATGCCCCTCGTTAAAATGCAATTAATCCCTCGCCAAATTGTAATTTTTTGACATTTTGGTTTTGTATAACCACACAATTAATCATCATCCAAATTTCTAATCACAATTATATAACAAATCCAGTATTGTATGAATTATAATTATAAAGCCCAAATTAGTGCATCCATCAAGTTGAACAAAATATAAAGGAGTACACAGAGAGTTGAAAATATAAACTAATTCATTAGTATGAATAGCTACAAGAGCATGACCAACCTTGTGGAAAGCAGTCTACTTTCTTGATTTAATTTCTCAGTTATGATGGCTGACTTGCGCTCACTTCCCATCAAAATTGTCTTTCGTATACTCAAAACCATCCGTCGTGGCTTTGATAGCAGCAATGTTCACCAAGTTAGTATCAACATCATCAACCTTCAAAACCTGTTACATGGCATTGCAATTGTAAATAGGTGTATTTTATATTAAAACGTGTCAGCTCAAAGAGTATAAATCTCATACGCACAAGTACCAAAGGGATACACTCAGTCATAACTTAAAAAAAAAAAGGGCATTCTAAAGGTTTGCACTGCCATAATAAGCCATCGAACCCAAGCACACTAGGAGAAAAAAATCAAACGTTGGACGTGTGGGATTCAAGAATCTGTCACCTTCCTTGAATATCTGGAAGAGGACCAATAACATGGAGATCAGACCTCAGTACACATAAAAAAATTATACACACACAAGTGAATAACCTATAGTAAAAATGACAAGTTAAAAATTGATTTGAAAGAAACGGAATTAATGGAGAAGTAGGAGTATGCCAGATAAGGCAACCATGTCTTTGGCAGAGAGGCCATGAGATTTAAAGTTGGAGATGAGAGTGTTGAGTAAAGAACAAGGAGATGGGATGGCTCCACTACTTGTAGCAGCCAAGCTAGTTGCCTTTGAATCTCTACTTCTCAGCTTCCCTTTCCAAGCAGGCCTTCCAACTTGTGTCATCTAATAGTACTAATGCATTGCACCCCTATTTACTTGAATGATATCTCCAAGAATTGATATCTTTAAAAAAATATTATTACTAAAAATATAGTTTGCAGAATAAATTATATTAAGAAAAAAATAGATTAATAGATGAAGAGAGAAGTACACTTGACTTAACATAAGCTTAACATAGTTTATAATTAATATAATGACGCACTCGATCCAAATTAGAGTTCACCTTCAACATATTTATGTTCTATAAGACAAATTGATGCACTATAAGTGAAATCAAATTCAACAATATAAGGTTGTTTCTGTTCTATAACAGATGGCACCATTAAAAATTAGTTACATTATTAAATAAATAAACAATCATTTCTCAATATACAAGAGAAAAAATAATATTATCTGGGATCAAGTAAATTGCAACAGTCTGCATTATGAATTAATCAAATAAGGACTATTGTCTAGTTGTACAATTTAGTTACATCATTACTAAGTTTGTTATATATTGTATAGTTTAAGTATCTAGTTGTACAGATAGCCTCTCTCTCTCTCTCTATATATATTGATGTAATACATTTACCAGAGTATCAATAATGCTCATTCTCATTCAGCACCATTCCCATTTTGACTCAGTCACATAGCTATATAGTTTCATTTTTTGAGTATCTCCTAACTTGATGCCTTCTTCATGTCAAGAGAGAGCTAAATAATATCCCCAAATTCTAGCTACGCTTCTTTTCACCAAAATGATTACTCATCACAGTTTAATCTAATACATGGCCCTTAGGATCCTCAAATTTAAAGACGAAAGAATTCCCATAAAGCCAATAGACAGATAACTTTGCAGTCTCTTCTGCTTCTGAAGCCATGAACCCAGAGACATCACTACATTCAAACATCTTCCATGTTGCTTTAACAAACAAAACGTGTCTTATTAGAACAAAATGTATAGTACCATAAGGTAACATAAAGAACGAAGGAAAACAAATTAAAAAACCTGGGCAGACGCGGACTGAAAAGGAGTCAAACAGGAACTGAACATGTAGAGACGAGCAAGAGTCAAGCAAATAGAGACAGAGACGAGCGAACAGCACGCGCAGAGTCGAGCAAGAGTCAAACACGAATGCACAGTCGAGCAACACGTAGTCACGTACTCGCAGAGTTGATGTCGTCGTCCCCATCATCTACTCGTTGCATGGCACTGGTATTGGTCACGCACAATCGCACATGAAGAGTCCAAGTCACAACTCGCAAACGGGAGACGAGAGAGAGGAGAGTGACGGCCATAGCATGGGTTGGGACTTGGGGAGGGAAATCGCCCGCAGAGCAGGTAGGAGAGGCGAGAGGGGAGAGTGAGCGAGTGAGAGGGACGCCTAGGGTTTGGAGGAATGGCCGAATAGGAAGGAAAGTTAACCTAAGTGAACACCCCTCTTTCCCTTAAACCTTAATTAGGCACTTAAAAAAATAAAAACAAATAACATATAAAAATAATATGGTCATGAAAGAAAAATAAAAATTTATGTTAAGAAAATATTATAAATATTAAAAAAATATTTTTTTATAAATAGAAGTAAAAAGTACATAAAAATATCTTACTAATTATCTCAATTTAAACAGACATAAAATTACATTGCTAATTTTCTTGATGATATAATTGTTTTATTTTAGAGAGATATGAATATTTCTTACTATTTTGCTCACTGATTATCTTATTTTAAAAGAAATTGATGGTCCTTTGCTAATGTTCCCATTAATTATCTTATTTTAGGGAGAGATCCATAGGCCCTCACTATTTTCATTACTAATTATCTTATTTTAGAGACGAATAGATAATCTCTCACTAATATTCTTATTTTAGATAAGGATCGATAATCCATTACTATTTTTCTCACTAATTGTCTTATTTTAAAAAGAGATTAACAGTCTTTCACTATTTTTTTCGCTAATTATCTTATTTTAGAGAAGGATTAACAGTCCATCACTATTTTTCCTCACTAATTTTAAGCCAAGCTAATGAAATTAACATTTCTCGCTAATTTCTTCATTAATTTGGCATTTTAGAGAGGAATAAATGATATTTCACTAAATTTCCTTGCTAATTTGCATTTTTCTAATAGTGGGTTCAGACCCATAACTTATGTGGACTGAAAACCATCTTTATTAATAAACCCTAACTCAAAACTTTAAGAAAATAGGTTGGAAAGGAGGCAGAAAAGGTTAGGAGACTTACACTCAGGATTTAATAGCTTCAAAATGCCTCCAAACCTTTTAAGAATGAAGCCTTAACAGAGCAAGAGTGTACCTTGGTCTCCCTCACGTGTTTCTTTCTTCCTTTTTTCTATTTTCAAGTCTGATTCACAACTTATTTATGCAAAAAATGAGTTATAAACTACTGTACTTGTCACTAGTGCTGCGACATCTGGTTTAAAGAAGACTCTTCTTATTTTTATGGCCAAATGTGTTACGGCATATGGCACAAAGATTTTTTTCTTTGTTTTTCTCCTTGTTTGATGCCCAAATGACCTAGTTTCACTTCGGATACAAACTTATAGCTAAAACTACAGCAAAAAACACTTATTAGTCTTCTCTTACCATATATCACATAAACCGTACTTAATTCCCCTTGATTAGTCTGATTAATGGGAGGTTTAGATTTTCAGGATGTTACAGTCTACCTGACATCTAAGCAGAAATTGATAATTTTTTGTTGATATGGACAAAAAATATTCTTAAGTGAAATTCTATGGAGGTTGATTAGTCATCGTATGAATACCATGTGGAAAAATATCATTTTGACTGAATAACAAGTTAAATTGCTTGCTTTTTTGTAACAGTACATTGGAAGCCATTTAAGGATTTCAAATCTTATTATGAACGAAATTGCTTAAGGTTATGCCAATGTTCTTAAGGTAGGTGGCACAAGAGGTGTGCATGCAGTCATGAAGGTGCCACGAGTAGAAGCAACCTCCTTCATGAAGTGCTTGAATTCTTTACAGTGAGCCATAACCTCTTCATTCTCAATCTTTGATTGTGTGCAACCTATCTCACTAGTTAAATATTAGGTTTTGCAGACAAGAAAAATAGCGGAGGAGAAGGAGGGAGAGAGGGGGTGAGATGTGTGACAATAGAAAGAAGCAAGCAATTTAACTTGCTATTTGACCAAAATGACATTTTTCACATGGTATTCATTCAATAACCAATCAATCTTTGTAAAATTCCACCTGAGAATTTTTTTTATCCACATCAGTGAAAAAATAATCAATTTATACTTAGGTGTTAATTAAACAATCAACATTTAAGTAATTTGATGGATTGGTCACTATTACACCTACTAAAGTAACATTATGTGTATTCTTGCCTTTTGTTCTCACTTTAGGCTACTGAATGTTCTTGGCCAACTTCATGGGCATTTTTGTGCATTTTTTAGTCCACATCAGTAAAGATTAATATTTGACAAGCACAATTTGCATTTAATATTGAAAAGTAATAGCATTGGGGCAAGTTAACGATTTAGTTACTTTTACATTAACTTCGATAACATTATGGCATTTTTGCATTTTTTTCTCACTTTAAGTTATTGGATGCTTTTGACCAACCACTTTGTGAATATTTTTACACCTTAATCTTAAATAATTTGATGATAAGAATGCATAAGGGAATCATACACTACTATTTCACTGTAATATAGTAGATTAATAGTAATACTCCTACTAAGCATTCTTGTGCCTCAATCTCTCATGATCTTAATAAAGAATGAACAGGAACCAAAATGAAGAGGACCTGGCTTTAAACCAAATGACGGAATGGAGAGGAGACTGAGGCATCTAGAAGTGAGAATCAAGGCCAGCCTAGTCCTTTAAGGGTTATCCCTTATAGACCTAACCCTTAAAAGCTCAGGCCCTAAAGCTTAGTTACCTAAAATTAAAGATTCTGAGGCCCGACCCTTAATTAAAGAGTTTAAGGCCGAGCCCTTAAGCCCTTTTTTCCGAAAAAAAAATCCAAAATGTTAATTTAAATAGAATATTCTAAAATTCAACATGAAGTAAATTAAAGTCTCACATAAAATTCAACATAAAATTTGATTAAGATTTAAAATTTTAAATTTAAGATGAAGATTAAAATCTTTATCAATGTAAATCAAAATCTTCCCCCTCATTATCTAAAAATAAAATCCTAAATTCCTTAGATGGAAATCTACTTATTGAAGATGGGGATGGAGATTCAATGTCAACTATCTCTGTAACTTCTTCATTATCATTTACAATAAATATTAACTAAATTGTGTCATTATCAATCAAATATGTGTGTGTGTGTCTAAGATAACCGGGCTTGAAGGGTTTGGGAGGCTACCTAAGTCTGAATCCTTTTTTACAAGACTTAAGGTTAGACCCTCAAGCCCGATTACCTTAAAAAATTTAATTTTTAAAACTTAAACTCTTATTTAAATAAAATTTTTAAGTCCGACCTTAATTTTTAACTTTAAAGACATTTAAACAAGAGGCTAATTTGGCGATTGTTGTTTGGGCATATGATATGATCTTGTCTTGAGATTGTAATCCAAATCTAGATCCCGAGAGCACAGCTTACTTGCTCCCCACTAGAGTTGGGAATATGAGCGGGCCCGGCCCTTAAGGACCTGAACCCTAAAGCCTGGTTTCCCATTTTGAACCCCATTTCTGAAGCTCGACCCTTATGTGAAAGACTCAGAGTTGGGCCCGGAAGCCCTTTTTCAAAAAATAAAAGTAAAATTAAATATTATAAATTAATTAAAATATTCTAAAATTAAAAAAATAAAATCTTCATAATTTTTTAAAAATTAAACAACACACATTTAAAAATCTAGTAATAAAATTTAAATCTTGGTTAAAAAATAATTCATTTTTTATAAATACACAAACATAATAATTATGAAAAAATAAAAAATATCAAAAATTTTATACTTTACACTTATATTTATTAAATAATATTAAATTAATTTTAGAATAAATTAAAATTAATAATAATATAATACGTGTAGGATCAGGTGAGCAGATCATTAACTTTAAATACATGTTCCACCAAAAAAAAAATAAAAAAAATATAACAGGGCTTGAAGGACTACCCGAGTCTGAGCCTTTTTTTATGGAGCTTATCAGGATCAAGTTTTCAAGCCCGATTACTTTAAAAAAAAATTATTTTTAAAATTTAAACTTTTATTTAAATAAAATCTCTAAGCCTGGTCTTTTCCTGGTTCTACTCTCCACACACACACACACACGCACATCCCTTTCATCCAAGGAACCCATGCCAGGGAAAAGCCAAACCACCTGTCCCACTGTCATTTGCCATCGCTCAATAAATGTACCCACCCCTTTTAGTCCTCTTTCTCCTCACCCCAAAAAAAGCAAATACACTCGCGCGGCAAGCCAGGACTAACCATGGGACCATACAATTGAATTCGAGGGTAATTATGCCAGAAAAAGAATACAAAAACAACTAGCGAGGACATGCAGAAAATTCAACGTAGCATGGCATCATTATCGCTTTATCGTGAAATGACAAACGTGATTTCCCTTTAACGTAAAAAGCAATCGCGGGTTGGGATTAACCTTAGAAGAACTGGGTCCAGCGAGGTCGTGATTATTATAAAGCAGAAGCCGAGAATGGTTTTGTCTACGGAACGAAGTTGAGTCCATGGCTTCTTGCTACTATTCCCTGCTGTTGCTGGCCCTGCTCTCCCAAGCAGTCGCGGCAAAGCTCAGTCAAGACTTCTACTCCTGCAGCTGCCCCAAATTGCTACCCATAGTGCGCAAAGGCGTCGCTCGAGCCATCAAGAATGAAGCTCGCATGGGAGCCTCCTTGCTTCGTCTGCATTTCCACGACTGCTTTGTCAACGTGCGTGAGTGTGTACTTGAACCCTGTTGTTATGAGTTAGCTGTAATTAATGATGACGCCACCAACAGGGGTGTGATGCGTCAATACTGTTGGATGATACAAGCAACTTCATAGGAGAGAAGACGGCGGCGGCGAACAACAATTCAGCCAGAGGATTCAACGTCATTGACGACATTAAAGCGGAGGTGGAGAAAGCTTGTCCCGGAGTGGTGTCCTGCGCTGATATTCTTACTCTGGCTGCTCGTGACTCCGTCGTTCAGGTACGTCCTCCGTCCGTGCATCCAAGCGCTTCGGTTCCAATATGTGTGGTTTATTCCCCTGCTTGCTGCAGCTGGGGGGGCCTTCCTGGGAAGTGCCCTTGGGAAGAAGAGACTCCACCACCGCCAGCAGACTCGCCGCCAATAACTCCATTCCCGCCCCCTCCTTCAATCTAACGACTCTTAAATCCAATTTCGCCAGCCACGGCCTCTCTGTCAAGAACTTGGTCGCTCTCTCAGGTGCTACTCCTTTCTTGATCTCTCTGCCTCTGAAATCAAGTTGCCGAGAGTTTATGTAATTCACTCATCCAGTGCAGGCGGACATACTATAGGGCTGGCCAGATGCGTACAATTCCGATCACACATCTACAACGACTCCAGCATCGACGCCTCTTTTGCCAAGTCTCTGCAGCGCAAGTGCCCCAGGGGTGGGAATGATGATGTGCTGGCACCCCTTGACTTCCAGACTCCCACCCATTTTGATAATCTCTATTTCAAGCATTTGCTCCTGAAGAAGGCTCTTCTCCATTCCGACCAGGAGCTCTTCAACGGCAGCTCTTCCACCGACAAGTTGGTCACCAAATATGCTTCCCAAAATGACGCCTTCTTCAAGGACTTTGCAAAGGCCATGATAAGGATGAGCAGAATCAAACCTCTCACCGGAACTAAGGGGCAGATCAGGATCAATTGCAGAAAAGTCAATTAGAAACCATCCTAAAGTACCGGGTCTCCATGTCTCTCCAATTGCCCATCTTTCCACCCGCTATCATGTCTTGTAATTTGCTAATGTCTCCCACTGTTATGCGACCCCGTTTGTCAACAGACGAGTATGCTTTTACGTGTCCATGCTCACTGGTAATTACTCCTCTTTACACGGGATTACCGGAACCAGCAAGCTATGTGTGTCCACTACCCACTGCACCACGGGACGTAATAATACAAGCCTTTATTATGTGATTGGCAGCTTCCGAATATGAAATATGTATACCTTAAATTGAGTGTTTAAAAAGTATTGACATCCAGCCAGATGCCCTTTCATAATTTGTCGTCCAGCTATGAATCCACAGAATCTTAATTTCTCTGCATAAGCTTCTCAGGAATTACCCTTGTAAATTAGGACAAAGCATTCGCAACTACAAATTCATCAATTGCAAGAGTAAAGTCACACTAGAAGAATTTACCAAAAAGTGAAAACTTTCCGGGCTTAACTGCAGCAAGTGTTTGTTAAAATTTCTTAATTTCAACACAGATTTTACAAGTAGACTATTACAAGAATCATGTCCAACTTTCAATTCTACATTTGATTAGAGAACTGGCGGTCACATCATTCTGCAAACTACAGTAACAGAACTATACAACCAAACTAAGCATTCAAACTGCCTTCATTTATATTACATCTCTTTCACCTAATCAAGCTCATCAATAGATTCAACCTCCTCCACTGGCAGTTCAAAGCTATCAATTTCTTTAAAGTAAGCTTGCTGTTTTTCAATAAAATCTTGCGACATGGCATGCTGGAACACATCTTGTTTAGAAGTCACAGTGCACCGCTTCTGCAAAAGGTGAAGAGTATAATCTATTGTATCAGTAAATGAATGAGCATGCCTTTTAGAGCAAAACTTTACAAAGAGGTGAAGAAAGGGGGGAGGCGCTTTTTTTTTTTCCCGGGGGGGGGGGGAGAGGAGAAGATGCCACCATCAAGTGGTGAAACAAAGAATATTATTCTTGTCGATTACCAGACAGAATTATTATTATTCTTGTCACATATCAAAATTTGACCAGTTTCCACTGTAAGAAATGCTGAACTAATTAAAATTCTTTCGATGAGTATATGACACAGGCTGAGAATAAAATCTATGAATAATTTTAATACAGTAATTTTAACATTGAAAATGTTCAGTAGTGATCAAGCCCTTGCTGAATAACCAAATTAACATCTGCAGATTCAGAAGAATTGAAATGCAGCATAGAACCACAAAAACACAGTAATATAAAAATCAATTTAATTACCTTTCTACAAGGAGCTGTTAATGCCTTGGCTTTATGCAGATTCACACTTTCAATCTCAAGATTTTGCTCCCTGTTACGCATGATGGGGAAATATATGGCAGTTAACTATAATATAGACTTTGTAGGAAGGAGACAATGACAGTCAATTTGATTCCCTCAATTGAAACCAAAGATATTTTGGTGTCTATCCAATGAAAGTGAAGATATCACAATTAAAAATGAAGAAAATATGTCTCCAATGGTATGAAAGTGACACATTCTATTAGTCAAGAACAGAAGAGGCGAGAGAAAAATTGACTAATTGTGGATCAGAAGTTTCTTCATCAAAGCCTCACATATTCTGCATGCCAGACAGAAGGGAAAATCAAATGTCTAACCAATACCCCCATGCCTAATACTGCCAATCTACAATGATGCTTGTCAGAATGCTTTAGAGAAATGATTGTGTGATTGAGAATATCTCAATACCCCATCCGTCATGTAATTATCATGTAATACTTTTCACTTCCATAATTCCCAGAATTTCAACCAACTGCTATCATTTTCTAATCTCGGTCTTTAACATAGCTGAATTAAGCTGTTATATCAAACGCCAGCCAGCATCACTACTGAAAAGATACTAACCTATTGGCAGAGACCTTTGGCACGGGTGTACTACTGAAAGGAACAGCCACTGCCTTCTCTTTCCCTTTCCCTTTTTCTGATGTATGTCTTCGACTGTAGACTACTGAGATAGGCTCCAAAACATCACGATCATGGCTGCCTTTATTCAAAGCATGTAAAAAGCCCAATGAATAAATATGTTTGAAATACAAGGGTCACTAAAAAATTTACAGTTGCTGCATTAATTAGCTCAAATAAAGCTTTACTTGAATAACAAAATCGATTCATATAAGAATTCTGATGCAATTGAATTCGGGAAAGGCAAGCCCATCAGGATTTCACAGAGCAAATAGCGATCCAAACTTGATTCAATACCAAGACAGTGCAAATTTATGAGTGGAAATATATTTTAAATGTTAACCATCAGAATATTATCACTCAAATTATACAGTTATATTGTATGAGGAAAGGAAACTCAATACAACTGTTGAAACAACACCCAGTAAATGATGATTCGTCCAATAGATATAATACAAACGAATTATTTTCGTGAAAATTCACGAGATAGGGGTAGATAAAAGACAGGCAACAGAAACAGAGAAAGTTTTTCATGGCTGAGATTTGGAAACCCTTTTATGTCAAGAATGGCTTCGTCTTAAGGACACTGAAAAACGATCGGCATCATCAAGATCAATGGTATCAGTGGCCAAAGCATTGAAAAGGCCCTTAAGGATAACGTAGAAACAATGAAATACATTGGGATGGGGCAACAAGATAATGTAACTCAGATGAAACTAAGATTCGTCTTTAATAATATAAAATCAGAAGTAAAATCAATGCCGAATTGGAAGCAGGGTGGAGTACAACAAAAATCAACCAAGGAATATACGCACACACAGAAGAAGATGGCTCCGATTGTTCATATCTTCATGAGGCCCTAAGGGGTTAGGTAAAGCGTCTAAGCACGAAACCTCCTTGTTGACACAAGGCAGAGCGTTCACAGGATGGGGAGGGGTGACCCACTATCAGCCTACGAACACTCGGCCGCTATAGCCGAAGACGAGGGCTCCATAAGGCCCCAAAATCTAAAAGAACGAGGAGGAAAATTTCGGCCCTAAAATTTGAGAACAAATGGAAAGCCGTTTTTACTCGAACCAGGCCTAAAGACAAATCGAAGGCGGAAATTAACTGAAGCAAGGTAGAACAGTTGCAATACCAGGAAGCAAGGAGGAATTTAGCAGCCGAGAATGCGTAGAAACAGCAGGAGAAAGATGGCTAGGGTTTGAAGAAGCATCACGGCGATTCGTGGAATTATTGGAGGAACGGGTGCGGGAACCGAACTTGCGCTGGCTGACAGCAGGGTTATTGAAGGGAGAAGGCGGGAGGGGTTTGGAGGGCTCGACGACAGAGGTGGTGGAGGAAGACGAGAGGGAAGAAGGGAGGGCGCGAGAGTCGGTGTTGGTGAGATCGGAGAGAGGCTCCCTGCGTTTGAGCAATCTTCTGGCAGCTTCCATTTTTACTGGCGGGGTGCCATATCAGTTGAATGGTGTAGTGGAAGAAGTGGCATCTGTAGGCAACGACCGTGCGGTGGAAGCTTCTTGGGAGTGGCGGGAATTTCCGGTTGGAAAGATATGTCAGAGGCAATATGAGGGAATGAGGCCTGGTCTGGCCTTAAGATCGCTCTCGCGCTTTCAGCTTACTTAACAAGTCACCAGTCAGAAGCCTATGTGCCGACAAGGATCACCTCGAGTCCTCGATTCTGGATGCAAATGGGTTATGGGCTTGTTCAGGCCCAGTCAAATACTCAGGCTTCCAATGAAGCGTAGAATGACCGAAAGCTTAGACTTTTTTATGTTGTAAATGTTGTCCAGTAAACAACCCTCCAAGTTCATAACGTGCTTAGGTAATTGGTTTACTCTCTGAGTGACTGATTTAATCCTCTAACTTTATATAAAATTTAAATTTAATTTTTAATTTTATAAAATATTTTTTTAATTTTTTAATCCAACCACTGTTAGTTGAAAATAATTATTTTTTATACCAATCATTATTATTTTAAAAAAATAAATTTAATATGTCAATATTTGAGAATATTTTGTCAATATTTGAAAGTTTCATGTAAAAATTTATTGTGATAAAACTAACGGTATTAAAATTAAAGGACTAAAAAAATATTTTATAAAATTAAAAAACTAAAATAAAACTTTATGTGAAGTTACAAAATTAAATAAATATTTTAGCCCTTTTTAGGTAAACTATAGCTTTTGGATTCTTTTCTGACCATGCGTGTCTCTAGGCAACAAGCTTGGTATAGGAATTGTTATTTTTTTAAAAAAAATGTGAAATGTGCCTAGAAAGGAAATGAAATAGGTATTTTCCCCCCTAAAAAGTACTTTTTACCTACCAAATATTACAAATAAATTCTATTAGTGCGAGATAAATAAATATAGTGAGAAGGAAGGAACATTGTCAGGGGTGCTGTGGTATTTTAATTTAGAATTTAAGCAAGAGTGAGATATTACTCCTCATGTTAGAATATAAAAATGAAGGATGTGGAACGAAAATATAATGGCATGTAACAAATTTCAGTATTTGATTAACAAAGTACATAACAAGCTGTTTGGTTGGAAGAAGCAAAATTTGTCGCTTGCAAGTAGGATCACATTGGTACAATCGATTACCTCTCAGATTTCTCTTTTTACCAAGCTACGTAACCATATTCCTGTGGGTGTTTGTGCTGAAATTACAAAATTACAACGTGATTTTATCCGGGGTTCCTATAAGGGGAAAAGGAAAATTCATACTGTTAGCTGGGATGTCATGTGTAAGCCTAAAAGACTTGATGTCATAGGTTTGCATGATTTAGCTAAGATGAATGAAGCTTTGATATGTAAGGTTGGCTGGAATATTCTTGTTCACCCTAATAATCTTTGTTCTTGTGTTCTTTAAGCTAAATATAAGCGTGGTGTAAATTTGTATGAGGAATGCTAAGTGAAAGACTCAAATTCTATGTTATGGAAATTCCTTTATAAATGTTAGCTTGATCTTGTGAGTATGATAGCCTGGGAATGTAGGGATGGTAAGAGAATTAATTTTTGAAAGGATTTATGGTCAGGTATTGATGAAAGACTCCTTGATGTTTGTTTTAGGAGACCTGAAAGGAGATTAGTAGAATGTAAGGTTAGTGATATGGTGAATGAAGCACAAGAATGGGAATTCACGTATCTTAAGGATTACTTAGCTGAGGAGGTTTTGGTGAAGCTTCGAGTAATACAAACCCCAAAGCCAGTTTATGGGTTAGATTGTATTAGATGGAGAGGAGCAACTCATAATAATTTATGTGTTTCTAATATGTATCATAGACTAATAGTGAACTAGGGGGATGCATGTGATAAGGGCTGGGATGTTTTGTGGAGTTGGAACGGTTCAAAAAGAATTCAAGTTTTTGTGTGGCTTTTGAGGCATGAAAGATTACTATCTTTAGAGAGGAGATCGAGATTATTAGGTAGTTCTCCTAATTGTTGCAAATGTGTGCAAGGTGTGGAAGATATTCTCCATGCTGTCCGTGATTGTGAAAAAGCAAAATTTATATGGCTTCAACTTGATAGAACTGAGGTAACTTCTAATTTCTTCCAACTTAACTTGCGTGATTGGATAGATGTGAATATGAAGGGTAGATTTGACTAGAGCAAAATTTTTGCTGTGGCTACTTGGTGGCAATGGTTTTGACATAATAAAACCTTATTTAATTCTAATTTTGCGATGCCTGAGAACCTATCAGGTGTTATAAATCATTATGTCTGGGAATTGGATAATTTGATGGGTGGTGATTTTTTGATTATGGTTAGAAAAACCGTTATTGATGTTAGATGGTCTTGTTCTCTCTTGGGGTAGTTTAAATTAAACTTTGATGGTGCAGCAGAGAGTAGCTTAAGTATAGCTGGGTGTGGTAGTCTGTTGAAAACAATAATAGAGACTAGGTAGCTAGATTTTTTAAAAAAATTAGTGATTGTTCAGCTATAAATGTAGAATTATGGGGTGTGCTTTGGGATGTTAGGTTGGCGAAGGAGCTGTTAGTGAAAAATCTAATCATTGAAGGAGATTCAGTTGTTGTCTTATCAATGCTGAAAGACGCATGGGTGGAGAAGTCTGGTAGTATTTTTCTTAATGATATTTGTAGAGTTCTTAATTTTTTTAAAAAAACTGTTTTCAGTCGTGTATATAGGGAAGGCAACCAGTGTGTAGACTGGCTTGCAATTACATTTTTCACATGATTTTTCATTTATTCATTTATGGGATCCTCTTGATCCTTTACAAAATTTATTGTGTATGACTCTTTGAGTGTTACCTGCTCAAGAGAAGTTTTAGTGATGGAATAAAGTAAGGCTTTGCCCACATTCACCCAAAAAAAAAAACTATTTACCAAAATTAGTTTGTTTGTTTATCTATAAACCTCCCTCATGTACATATGTTGATGTATAAATACTATATCAGTATATTCAATAAAGTGTGAAATTCATTTTTCCTTTTAATAATTGTTATGGCGTGATATGATACTGTCACTAAATTCATCCCCATCCACTCACCTACTTATAACAATGCTCATTGATATTAAGTATTGCTCTTATAACCATATATATGTTTATCGTCACTAAATTATTTTATTTAAAAAAATATGAAAAGACTGTGACTGTGTGCGTGCGTAACAAGTGGCATCCAACCCACAATCTCACATTAAATTGTTTTGCTTTATTGCCTTTTACTTTTACAAATACATATACATATACATATATATTGATATATATATTCGTGGGCGCACTCATAGATCATATATATAATTGAATCTCACTGTGTGTAAAAGTGTGTTTTCTTATATAAAGAGGCAGGGGTAGAATATTGAGTGACATGGCAGAGTCCAAAATTTTACAAAGAATGGAGACACGTTTAAATAAGGTGTGAGGATGGAACAACGACATGTGCCAGGATCAGAGGTTATATAGTTATAAATTGTATTACGCACAGCTCCAAACAAAATACATGCAGGCGGATCTCAGTATCCATAAATATCCCTCACGGCCCACACGTTAATTACTATCTTTATCCATTTCATGCAAGTTATGTTAGTCACTCGTATTAAGAAAGATGATTCCCACTTTAACTTAACAATGAAGTCTGTAATATTACTGACGTTACGCCTCCAACTTAATTACCATCACAAAGCCTACCTGCTTGGCCTAATGACTTCTCCTTTGAGCGGCCTACATGTAACTTATCTTAGGCATATGACCCTGCTCCTGCAATAGTACATCAATCTAACTTCGTTTTTGCATCCAAACTGGGAACCCAACTTCATTTTCTCTTGTATTCATGTACAACACCCTCTCCCCATTTCAATATTAATCCATTATATGTATAATAAGTGCAAACATATCCTTTTCCTCTATAGTACCTATCGCCACCATTTTACTCGATCGTCTACTCTTGCTATGTGTACATCCCTCGTTAGTTGCAGCACTTCAAAATCAATAAAACCAAGCCTACAACACACACACACACTGACTAGCTTCACCATCACCGCATTTGCACTATAATATGTATGGATATATAACATACAAGTTAGGTCGACCATGACCTATTCTCAAATTGTCATACCTTATCCCTACTCCTGTCTATGTCCCTCAACTCTTCTCGTCAATTTAACATTCCAATATCCATTTCTTAAAAATATATACTAAAATCATTTAATATTTACACTCCTCTCCCCTCAATAAAAATATGACTTCTTGGGTTGTGTACAAAATCAAGTTCATTATAAAAACTAAGCAATAAGGCACGCACACACACATATTTGCAATTTATATATACTATAAACATTGATACAATCAAGTAATTAACCTTCCCCCTAAAAAAATTGTCATAGTCAGAGTATATATAACTAAACTTTAAGGAGTTTAATTAGTGCCATTTACTTAATAACGAAAGACGGGGTATTTGAATACCAAAAATATATGTATGTATGTATGTATGTATGTATGTATGTATGTATAACCACAGCAATAGCTATATAAAGCCTTGATTTTATGATTAAAAGAAGACAGGAGATATTCAAATGAAGCTTGCATTAAAGCAAGCATGATTACTGTTCATCACTCGCTACTACTTTCTCTCCATTTCTCTATTGCCTGTCCCACTGCTTGCTTCACTGCTCCCGCATCCATAGTCACGCCTTCTTCTTCCTATAAATTAAATTCAATGGATTAGTTTCCTTCATTCTTCCGCGTCACGTGACATATAAATGTACTCGATGGATTAGGGTTGTGTTTAGTGTTTATCTTACTTCTCCTCTAATTGCTTGAAATCAAAAATTATCTGTACAAGAAACCCTAGCTTCCAGCACATTCAGACCCATCCCTTCAAAGGCTTCCAATATGGACACCAGTAGACCCAGGCAACTGTTCGCTGCAAACACATGTATAAGAAATCCCTTTTCTAGGGCTTCTACTGCCACCTGCACAGAGACTGACCATTCAGAAAATGCAGCACTTCACCAATTTTTTAATTTATTTGTCCTCTTCATGATATAATTAAATTGACCAAATTACAATACTGCTAGCTTGTTCGAGAAAAAAAATACCATTGGTGGCAAGGGATTTTGGCCACTTAAAGTTTGTGCGGTGGCCATGTC